TGCACCCATGTTTATAGAAGCACAATTTGTAATAGCCAGATCTTGGAAACAACCCAAGTGTCCATCAACTGAGGAAGGGATAAAAAAAGTTGTGGTATTTTTATACAATGGAGTACTACTCAGTTATAAAGAAGGATCACATTAAGATATTTATAAATAAGTGGACGCAGCTTGAGACCATACTCATAAGCGAAATAAATCAAACTCATATGTATGAATACTGAAGTTTCCCTAGTGTAAGAAATGATCTAAATACATAAAAGTATGTGGTAATCATGATTCCCCATCTTTGCAGGAAGCCTTATAAAGTTTTTACTCATTAATTGTAATGGTTTTATTCTGGGCTGTTTGATTTTATTCTCTGTGATGATATGAACTGCTATTTTGAAGAAAACAAGACATCATAAAAGCTAGTGCTGATTTAATATCATCTTGTTTTGAAGTCCCATCAAACTGTTGTTCTTCTGTCTCCATTGGTTTTATCATGTTATATCTTGTTGGATTTTATTATATGTGATAGTATAAACAAAATTTTTATAGGCAAAGAGATAATACAGAAACCATTGTTCATTTTCTGTTAGCTGGTTCCAAATACCTTGTAATACTTTCATTCTCTTGAATGGTTTCACACTGTCTTGATATGTTTGATGCTATAGTATACAAAGTTAAACTCAAATATTTCAAGGAAAGAGACACTATGGTAACTACTATTAAGTCAGGTTATCTTGTGGTGAAACACCATGTTGCTTAAATTGTTCTGTTTTGACCTGTATTGTTATGTTGTTATGTCCCCTTTTATGTCAATCTCCCCCCTTTCCTTTTTTTAAAATTTATTTATTTTTATTATTTTTTAATTAAGGGAAAAATATTTTAAAATTAGCAGAATATATTATAGTAACTTTTTTGATTTTGTATTAACTTGATTTGAAGTTAATAAGACCCTGTATTGCTCTCACCTTGTTTTGACTCATTTTACTCTATTCTGTTTTGTTTGATAGTATCAAGTTTGAGGGTATAGGCAACTACTTTGAAGGCAATAAGATTCACTATGATGCCCATAATGGTTTGACTATTATCTTTTTTTGAAGTCCTGTATGTTTTATTGGTTTTGTTCTGTATTGTTTTGCTCAATTTTATTATACCTGATGACATAGGCAATTCTTTTTAGGTAGCAAGAGACATTATGGTAACCATTGTTGATTACCTTGTATTCTGTTTTTACACCATGTACTATGTCCATCCTTTGTTTTGACTGACTCTGGTTTGTTTTGTCACATTTGGTTTTATTCTCTTCCAAAAAAAATAGTAAGAACTGTGGGAGTAATAAAACCCAAAATGTGTAATTGTTATTGTAAAAAATAGAGGAAAAGAAAGTGCGCTAAAGAATACAACTGCAAGTGTGTTTAGGTGTGTAAGATAGATGACCATATTACTAAGTTTTTTTTGGATCATTGAACACAACTGTTTGCAGTCTCACTGTTTGAATGTCCACTTTGTATGCTTTAATTTTGTAACTTGAACAACTATTTCTAAGATGACAATATGTAATCTATTAACTAGTGATTTCTTACTGTTTATTTTTTTGAAATTCTATATTACTTGTACCCTTTTACTGTTTTGGTTTTTTTTTTACTTTCTTTAAATAAAATTTTTTAAAAAGGAGAACAAGTAATCCAAAGTGCACACAAGGGAAGAAATTATAAAGATCAGGGAAGACATTAATGCTATTGAGATTAAGAAAACAATACAAAGAATCAATAGATTGAAGAGCTGATTCTTTGAAAGATTAAATGAGACAGACAAACCCTTAGACAATTTTATTTTTTAAAAAAGGAAACAGGGCTGGGCATATAGCTCAGTGGCACAGCACCTGCCTGACAATTAATTTGATTCCCAGTACAAAAAAAGGAAGGAAGGAAGGAAGGAAAGAAGAATCAAGACTCAACTCCATGCCATCTGCAGAACTACAGAGGATTATCAATACTCATTTTGAGAACCTGTACTCTAATAAGACAAAAAACACAGAAGAAATGAACAGATTCCTAAACATATATCAATTACCAAAGCTGAATCAAGAAGTTATAAAAATTTCTGAATAACCCAGTATCAGACAATGAAATTTAAGAAGTAATTTAAAAACCACCAACAAAGAAAATTGCAATAGCTGAGGTATTCACTGATGAGTCCTATAAGAAAGTTTGAGAAGACCAAAAGCCACTACTACTCAAACTCTTTAATGAAATTGAAAGAGAAATAATACTCCCAAATTCATTCTTGGAAGCAAGCATTACCCTGATACTAAAACCAGAGAAGGATTCAGCCAAAAACAGAACTATAGACCAATCTCCTTACTGAATATTGTCACAAAATCCTCAATAAAATACTGGCAAACATAATGCATCAAATCATCAAGAAAAACATATACCATGTCCAAGTAGGATTCCTCCCAGGGATGCAGGGATGGTTTAATATATGCATACTAGTAAGTGTAATATACCATATTAACAGAACCAAGGATAAAAACCATAGGTTCATCTCAATAGATGCATGAAAAGAATTTGACAATGTCCAACATCAATTCGTAATAAAACCCTAAAAAATTTGGACTAGATGGCGTTTATCTCAATTTGATAAAAAACCATCTATAACAAACCAATAGCAGCGTCATGCTAAACAGACAAAAATTGAAAGTTTTCACTCTAAAACAAGACAAGAATATTCACTATCACCAGTCTTAATCAATATAGTTCTGGAACATTCACCAGAACAAGTAGACAAGCAAGAGAAATAAAAGGAATAAGGATAGGAAAGAAAGAAGTTAAATTATCTTTGTTTGCAGATGGCATGATATCCTTCATAAAAGATCCCAAAGACTCTACTAAAAGACTTCTAAATTTAAGAACAAAATTCAGTAGTGTAGCTGCATACAAAGTCAATACTCAAAAACCAATATCTTTCCTGTACATGAATAACAAACTCACTGAGAGAAATTAAGGAAACAATACTTTTCACAACTGCATCCAAAAAAGTGAGACACCTAGTAATCAATCTAATGAAGAAAGTAAAAGACTTTTACATTGAAAAATATAGTATTCTGAAGAAGAGATTGAAAAGGATATCAGAATATGGAAAAATATTCCTTGTAGGAAGAGCTAATATAGTGAAAACAGATGTACTTCCAAAACTCTTGTACAGATTTAATGCAGTCCTGATCAAAATACCAATAGCATATCTCACAAAACTACAGAAAACAATTCTAAAATGCATATGAAACCAGAATAGACTTAGAATAGTGAAAACAATTCTGTACAACAAAGGCAATGTAGGAGATATCACAATCCTCAACTTGAAGCTATACTGCAAAACTACCATAATAGAACAGCATGGTACTAGCAAAAAAAAAAAAGACCCAAGGTTAATGGAGCAGAATAGAAGATACAGAAACAACTCCAAACACACTCATCTACCTTATCTTTGACAAACAGACCAAATACCTTCACTGGAAGAGAAATAGACTCTTTACTAAGTGATGCTGGGAAAACTGGTTTTCCACACACTGAAGATAAAACCTAGACCTGTATTTCTTACCATGCACTAAATAAAATCAAAATGGTTAAGGTTTGAAATATTAAAAGAGAAACACTTAAAGTTCTGGAAGAGAGGATAGATAAAACAAAGACATACATGTAGACAAAGACTTTATGAATGAAACTGATTGCACAGGAAATATTATAAACAACTGGGATCCTATTCATATTAAAAAGCTTTTTCACAGCAAAAGAAACTACCATTAGAGTAAAGAGATAGTCCACAGAGTGGGAAAATATTTTAACCAACTATTACTGACAAATGACTAACATCTAGAGCTTATTTTTTAAAACTCAGAAAAAAAAATCAGACTCTCCCAAATTTAAAAACCAACCCAAAAATGGGCACCTGAAATGAATAGACAGTTCTCAGATAAGAGGTACAAACAGTAAATAAATATATAATACAATGTTTAACATCACTGGTATTTTGAGAGATGCGAATTAAAACAATGCTGAGATTGCATTTCACTCCAGAAAGAATGTATAGCATCAAGAAACAAGCCAATAACAAATGCTGGCAAGTTGTGGGAAAAAATGAATCTTTCTCCATTGCTGGTGGGAGGGTAGAATGGTGAAACCGTAGTGAAAATAAGTGTGCAGAGTCTTCACAAAACTAAGACCGGAAGTCTTATTTGACTCAGCTATTATTCTTTTTTGGTGTCTTGCCAAAAGAATTAAAAGTGTCATACGATGGAGATACATATTCATGAATGTTTATAGCAGGACAGTTTGTGGCTTAATCTTAGAAACAACCCAAATGCTCATCAACTGATGAATGGGTAAAGAAGATGTGGGTTTTTTCATACAGTGGAGTACTCAGTCAGAAAGAAAAACCTGAGACATTTATAGCTAGGTGAATGGACTTTGAGAATATACTCTTAAGTGAAATACATGAGACACACATGTGTAAATATGCATTGTCTCTTTGGTGTGAGAAACTGAAAGCATAAAGAAGAAGCAACATGTATACTACAATTGCAAAACAGGAAAAAACTGTTCAAAAGGAAAGGGGAAACTGGGAGAGGGAAAGAAGGAAAGGGAAAAAGAAAAAAAAGAAAAAAATGAGAAAAGGATAAAATGAAAACAAAACTTTACAAAACAAAGAAAGAGGGTGACAAGGGAGAGGAATGGGGGAAAAAAGAAGAATCAAGATGTATCATGCACAGGTACAAATTCCCTACATAAAGTGATCATTATGTATATCTAAGTTGTACCAATAAACTTAATCTAAAAAAAAAACACTTCCTCTTAAGAAGTCCGCCATGACAGGAAGGCAGAGGATATGGGGACCAGCCTGAGCCCACATGGTAGGTAGGAGGCAGCCTATTTGGTAGCTGATGTAGGCTGAGCCTGACAATGGGCCAGAGGTCATCTTTGGCACAGGACAGACTCACCAACCGAGAGCTCTGGTCCATGCCTAGAGGAAGGAAATGGGAAAGCATTTCCTGTTCCTTCAACACCTTTGGATCTGGAGAAGAAAATCTAGTCTTTGGTCACACCTGCCCTTGTGACATCACGGGCATCTCTTCCTCTATCAGCTGTCCTGCCCCTATCCAGCTTAGAGGAACAGCAAGCAGAAGGGCATGATCACCTTAGCACCTGCCCCCCTCCATCATGGGAAATCGCTGTTGTGTAAGATGCCATCACACTCACTTCTCTGGGCGTGGGGCGATGTCCCACACAGAGGGAAGACCAGGATGACTCTATGGGACATAGGCAAGATGTGAAGAGCAGATACTGTGGGGACTTTAAAAGGTGACTGGCCCTCACCCCTCTCCATCTTACTTGCAGAGACGTGATCCAGGTCGAAAAGTCCAAGAGACAAAAGACAGAGAAAGGGGAAAAAAGGTAGGTAGGACCAAGAAGCATGAAAGAACTGAAGGTCTCAAGGTCCCTGAAAATGGAGGTACTATCTCTGGTCTCATCGGGATTGGCATTGCTTTCCTTCTACCTAAATCCCCTCCCTCTCCTGATGAACTGTGCACAGAACACACAGTGAGGCCCAGCACAGTGGGAAGTGGAAAGATGAAGGTTGACCTATATCAGAAGGGATCTGGAGTCACTAGAGATAGGCACAGATGTCCATAGAGACAGGGTCCCAGTAAGTAACCCACGTGAGGTGTCAGTGGGCAGCACCCTAGGCTGGTTTTGGACTGAGGTGCAAGCATAGAGGCAGAGGTTCTCCTTTGTGGGGATCCTTTGGGTCCTCACACACAAGGTGGGTCTTTTGCATCAGGCAGTTTCTGTTGGTTCTGCAAACCTGTGAAGTCCAAAATTCAAGGATTTCTCCACCTCATAGATAAGGTACACTGCAGCTCAGACAGTGATCACATATGGCTGTAGCCATGGGCAAAACAAAAGTAAAGGGAAAACCTTACCCAGTTCTCCTGGGTCCACAGAACCTCTAGACAATGAACCAACTATAGAGAACTACCTGTGTCTGATGGTGGCAAATTTACTGAGGGTCTTTTCTTTGCCTTAACAGCTTCGTGACAAACATCACAAGAAAAGGGTTCAGGCAGCTAGAAAGATCCAGGCCTGGTGGCGTGGCAACCTGGTACGCCGGACCCTGCTGGTTGCTGCCCTCCGGGCCTGGATAATTCAGTGCTGGTGGAGAACAGTCCTGCACAGGAAACATCAAAAGTTGCAGCAGTCCCTTCTAAGGACGTATGTGATCCAGGAACAATCAGCAGTCAAACTCCAATCCTGGGTTCGCATGAAGCAGTGCCGTCAATGTTACTGCCAAATATGTGACGCTCTCTGTGTGTTCCAGCCCCCAGACAGCAGCCTTGTCTTCCAGAACAAAGACACTTTGCAGGTACAATGTGGAGCCCTTTTCAAGCAACCAGAGTTCCACATTGAAATCTTATCAGTCTAAAAGTCTCCAGCATGAAGGCCTCATTCCAATGCCTCAATAAATATCTGGTTTAAGTTTGTGAGTATCAGTTAATCTACAGCCACAGGAATTCAGGCCGCCTCTCCTCCTCTACTTAGTAAAGGACTTTAGAGCAGGTACAGTTCCAGCAACACAGTGCTTATGGCCCATGCTTGACTTCACCCTACCTCCAAAGCAAGAAATCATGGCTCAGTGTTGCCTTCATATATGTAGAGCCAGGCATCTCCTTGTATATCCTGGCACCATCTCCACCTTCTGAACTTAGACTTGGGGGAATTTGGACTTTGCTTTCCTGAAGATTCTGGGCATCACTTCATAAATCACCACAGCAATACTATCCATGTCAACCACTCTGGTCTCTGATTTTTGTTACTGTTGCTGCCTTCTGTTCTCTAGGACACAGATCAGAAAGTATGGCCTGGGGCTAAACAGTTGTATGGGTGTGGTGTATGTAATACACCCCTCTGGCACTTCAGTGAGAAAGTGTGTCAACCCCTGCCATGGAGACACTGACCCTTGTGCACTGACCCAAATGTGTCTTCAGTCTGACCAGGACTTCTCAGAGGCTGCTCTGGCCACTGTTTTATTGCTGTCTCTGCTGTCACACTCACCCCACCCACACCTTGGCACTCTCTTACTGTTACCACCAAAGCCTCCCGCACTTTTGTGTGAGCCCTGCCCTTTCCCTGCTTCATCCCTGCAGCAGATGAGTGGAAAAGTCATCATTTGTGTGGTTTAGTTTTATATTCAAGCCAACAGATCTCTGGTGGGCAAACTTCCCAAGATACTTCTCCTCAGGTTGCCTTTGATCTAAAGGGTTCATGTCCTTTCCTTCCTCTTCAAATGTATCTCTCCCTCCTTTCCTCTTGACCTCAAAGGATAGAGTCACCATACTTAACTGAGAAAAGAGCAGCAGAACGGGCCCTAGGTTCCTCCATTTTCTCCTCCTCCCCACACCCCACACTTGCTGCCTTCCTCCTGTGGAGATGGACTTTTTATCCTCATTCAAGCCTCTCCTTCCACTCTCCTCCTCTGCTCTGGTTTTTGCTTTTGCCTACAAACCCCTCTTGCTTTTGCAAGGCCTTAAATTCTGGAATCTCATTTGTTTCTGTAAATGAGTTTCTGCCTTTTCACTAAATCATTCCCCTTGGCATATTAAATGTCCCCTGTTATTATTATAGTCCATTCTTAACCACTCCATGCTCAGCAGCTTTGCATTTCTTCATAGCAAAACACGCTGTCACTGTCTGCAGTTCTACTATTTGTATTCTCTCCTGAACTCACTCCAAATGCCCTTCTCTTCCCCAACACCATAGGAGTTATACTAGTCCAATGATATTGAGTGACATTCTCTGTAAAAAATGACCAACATTACTTCCTTTTTGAATCCATACCTCTTTAACATGGTAAGGATTTATGTAACTATGTAGCTGCCAATTAAGAAATGAAAACTATTTATCTCCTTTTGTGTCTAGACTTCCTTGTGATTTTCTTGGCCTCAGTATGCAATGGAAGTGAGCAATCCTGAGCCTGGACTTCAAGAAATCTTTAAGACTGAAAGGAACTGAAGCTGTGGCTCAATGGTGAAATGCTTGCCTAGCATTTGCGAGGCCCTGGGTTAGATCTCCAATAAAATAATAAGATTTTCAGAAATCTTGTACAGCCATCTACTCTGTGAGCAAGTCAGTTATTTGTGTGACCTGAGAGGCTATCCGCAGCAGAGATGAACAATTTCTAATGAGGTTATCTCACTCTACCAGCCCCCAGCTGATCTGCCATGTATACTGTGAGGGCCTTCATTTGTGCATTAGCCTACTGTTGACCATTCTCTCCTAATTAAAACACTCTCCTTTTGCCTTAGGGCCCTTACTCTTCCATTTCTCCTCTCTATTCACTCTCTTCTTTAAGTTAACTGGTGGCTTCTCCCTTGATCAGCCTCTTTTGTATGACCTACTAGAGACCCAATCCTTAAACCTCTCTCAGCCCCTCTTTCCGCTCACTCCCAGATGATATTAATGAATCACCTGGTCTTTACGAGCTGCTGTGTCCTGATGACACTCAAGTCCCCATCTCCAGTCCTGACAGCACCTCTGAATCCCAGGGCCCTCAGTGAAACGCTCCACTTGACAGTTTTCTTCGAGCTCTAACAGTCAAACCGAGTGGGCAGAAACAACACTTCTCCTTCCCCACATATTATGCTTCCCTCTGAAAACTTCTTTTCCTTGTGTTTGGCAATTTACCTATTCTGTTTAATTCAAAATCCTTTGTTAATCCTTGTCCGTTACCTCCATCCATTTCTTCCTGCATCCGTCCGTCAGCAAATGCTGTGGGCTCTGTTCCTTCAGTGGAGCCCGTATTCCTTTGATTTCTCTTTATTTCCCTTGCTGCCTCCTAAGCACAAGCTTGCACTGCTTCTTACTTTGATACCTACAGGTTCTTCTTCTTGCTTTAATTATTGTCTCATTCATTTATTTATTAAGATCTAACATATACTAGTAGACAGTATAACTCCTCTCTACACAACACACACAACTCTTTAATAACATATGGTCAAACTTATTTCACCTCTACATCTCCCTCTGTGTCCATTGGATAGCTGCATAGCAAATTCCAAAATACTTCATTTCACCATAAATACTATTGCACATGTATTGAATGGATAAGAATTTAAAGGCACATAACCATCCATTCAAATACACCAAAGTGATTTTTAAATAAAGGCCAAAAATCAATCAATGGGTAAAGGACAGCTTTTTTTTTTTTTTTTTTTTGTCTTCTTCGTTTTTATCGGTACCAGGGATCGAACTCACGGCTGCCTGCTTGCAAGGCAGGTGCTTATGCCGCTAAGCTAAATCCCCAGCCCCAACGACAGCCTTTTAAACAAAATGTGCTAATGTCTTTGGGCATAGTGGTGCACACTTATATATCCAGCATACCGGAGGCTGAGGCAAGGGGATCGCTGTGTGTTCAAGGCCAGCCTGGGCTACATAGTGAGTTCAAGACCACCCTGAACTAGGCAGTAAGACTGCATCAAAATAAAAGTGCTAAAGTGATTGGACATCCAGAGATAAAAGAAAGAAAGAAAGAAAGAAAGAAAGAAAGAAAGAAAGAAAGAAAGAAAGAAAGAAAGAAAGAAAGAGAGAGAGAGAGAAAAAGAAAGAAAGAAAGAAAGAAAGAAAGAAAGAAAGAAAGAAAAGAAAAGAAAAGAAAAGAAAAAAACCACACCTTTGACCTAAGTCTCTTTGGTATATAAAAGTTAAAGTTTACTTGAAATGGATCATAGACCTTTTTTTAAAATTTTTTGAGACTTCGTTTCACCATGCAGTTCAGGCTGGCCTTGAACTTACTTTGTAGCCCTGACAGGTCTCGAACTCACAGCAATCCTCCTGCTTAAGCCTTCTGAGTGCTGAGATTACAGGCATGTGCCACCATGCCCAGCTGATTATAAACATTTATGCCAAACAACACTATAAGGGTTTTAGAGAATACATGAGGAAGTCTCCAGGATTTCAAATAGATAAAAAAATCATAGAGTTGACATTAAAATCTTGATCCATTAAAGGAAAGACTGGTAAATTGGACTTCATCAAAATCTTGAGACTTTTGCTGTATGAAAGACACTGTGGAGGGAATGAAAAAACAAGCTGTGGAATGGGACAGGGTTATGTTTATGAACCATGAATACGACAAAGAACCAGTGTCTAGAATCCATAAAAAACTCAAAATTCAAGAGTAAAAGTCAGTTGAAAATGGCCAAAAGACACTAAGAAGCATTTCATTGAAGAAGCTGTACATATGACATAAAAGCACGTGAAAACTCAATTTTTAACACCATTAGATATCCGGAAAACTAAACTCACAATGAGATTTTACTACACAGATTTTACTGTACTATCAGAATGGCTAAAATAAAAAATAGTGGCAGCATTAATGACAGAACTTTCACAAGCCAAATCTGGTGTCACACATCTGAAAACCCAGCACTCAGGAGGCTGAGGTAGGAGGATGGCTGTGAGTTCAAGGCTAGTTGGGCTACATAGTAAGTTCAAGGCCAGCCTGAACTACATAGTAAGACCGTGTCTCCAAGAAGAAAAAAAAAGCTGTAGAGGAAATGAGTCATGTATTGCTGATAAGTGCAGCTACTGTGGGAAAGGTTAATGGTTTCTCAAAAAGTTAGCTAATAGCTATATTCTATATACATGTTAAGAACGGAATATCCCTTCATCATATTGTATATATAACTGAGTTCTCAGATTTGTAAATTTTTGTATATCCTTTCATTGAAGAAACATTTAATTAAATGAGAAAAAGTTAAATAAATATGTAATTACCACAAGAGCCAACAATTCAATACCCAAGGGAATTGAAACAAATATTCAAATGCAAAAAAAGCTTGGACAAAAATGTTCAAACATGCATTATTCATAATAGTGACATTGTGAAATATATATATTTGGTCTTCACCCACACTTCCTGAAATACAACTTCTAAGATCCTTGGCATCTGCAAAGTGATATGTCTTTTTATATGCTGAGGTGACTCCTGGATAGCGTCGGGATGGTTGGTTGCCAGGGGAACCAGCACTGTAATTAGATATTGTTTCTCAGTGATTAAGCCAACATTACAGTCATAGCCTAGGTCCCTGTTTCATTTTGCTTTTTTTTTCTTTGATTTAATTTTGTTTTAAATTATGTAATATACATAGTTCTTAGGTCTAAAACCAGGCATGCTGGTGCATGCCTGAAATCCCTGTACTCTGGGAGAGTAAAGTAAGAGGAACACAAGTTCAAATCCAGTCTGGGAAATTTTGAGACTTAGTGAGATCTTGTATCAAAATAAAAAGAAAAATTAAAAGGATCTGGGGTTGGAGCTGGGCGCAAGACCCTGGGATCAATCTCTACTCCTCCTCCTAAATAAATGAACAAATAAACTGCAAGAAAAGACCCACCGTCTCCCCATCGATAGTGCATCACATACACACACGCACACACACTCACTTGTTAGGTTAAAGATACCTGCTATGTATACGTTTGTACCT